GGTTTGTTTGTGCGTGATTAGGGTTTAGGGTTTAGGGTATGGTACAACCTGGGACCGCAGGCTGTGATGCACTCTGGGAGTAAGCACGGAAGCCGCATACTTCGGAGTGCCTACAGCTGTGGGCTCGGGTATGGCTCTACAGGAGTTAAAGCAAAAAGAAGGAGACCCTGCCGTGTTATATTGTCTTGTATGCATTAAGATACCCAGGCAAGCAACAGTCTGAATCAGGCGTCCCGGATTTTGGTTTGACATGAAACCCCAGAAGATCCTGCTAAATATATCAAGTGAGCTTCCCCCACATCACTGGCGCAACCCAACACAACGAGGCGACTGCCTTCTACAAGTGCTACACTCTGTCACTCTGACCCCCCAGCTTTACCCTCCGAAGTAAGAATTGTCGACTTTGGGCCCTGGGATGGAAGCGAAATTCGCACCTTCCCCTCAGCAGCAACGGCTTCGAGCCCGAAATCGTGTCCAGGCGAGCACTTTTTTTATCCTTTCGCGCGGCTGCTGTTGTCCTGCGCTGCACGCCACTTAGGGCTTCGACATGCGTAGGCTGCAGAGTTTCAGGATGGTCGGGTTATGGCTCCAGTTAATCTAGGGGCCTTACTAATTAGAATACGGTTTTGGGTCCCCTTATACTATACTTACAATAAGGAACCCCCAAAATAGTATAGGTAGTTATTTAGGCTTCTATAGTAACTATGTATGCTTGTGCTTACTCAGGACGCAAAGTCATTCCCTTGCCAGGGCCAGGGGTCAAGTTGAGATAATGCCTTTGTCGAGGCTTCCGTGTGCATGGGCACTGCGCCATACAGAACTTCGAAGGTGGTGGTGCTAGGATGCCTTAAAGTTTATTTGGGAAGGATAAGTCAAGTGAAATGTCAGGTGAACCACGTGCAGACAAATACAGACTCATGTGTGTGTTCAGTGCCGTTTGTGGACTGAAGCTTAAGGCTGAAGAACCCCGGGTGGCGGGCGTGGAATCAGGACATGCTCCTCATTGTGGAACACTTCGAACCTGAAGCGAACAAAAAATAATCTTCACCTACCATCTTTCCATTCATCCTTGCACCCCGGTAAAAGCCCCGAAAGCAACGCAGCGTTTAAGAGCTGAGCTGATCCCAAAGGTCATGAAGTCAGGAACATGCTGTAAAACCCCCTAAACCCCTGAACCCTAAATCCCTATAAACCCAAAACCCGAAAATCCGATATAATCTCTAAACGTTTCAGAGCCGACCCTACACGTCCTCCATGAAAACGAGGCAACCCTGCCCCAGCCGTTTCATGACCATCAAATTGCGCCTCGGATGTTAAGCTTTAGGGCAACTCTAGGCTCCGTGTACGTATATAGAAGGAGTAAGATTTAGGGTTTAGGGTTTAGGGTATACATGTAGATACTCACCCTAAACCCTAAACCCTAAACCCCAAAACCCTAAAACCCGCTATTAATAGGAACCCCCTTTAAGGCCTAAGTATATCTTACTTGGGGGAGCCTTTGGGTCATATCCCTTGATGAAGCCTCCTTCCTTAAGCTACGATAGGGGACCGTGACATGGGTATAGGGCTTTTAGGTTTATAGGGTTTAAGGATTAGGGTCAGTTAGGGGACCTTGATAAAGGACCCGCAAGAAAGGGGATGTTTGAGTTCGATGGTGGATTGGAATATCTGGGCTCGCCTCTTCCACAAGCATGCTATGCACCGTTCTTGCGGAATGCTCAAGAGCGTTGGGCTGCTTCGTAGGGGGAGGTGGGTCCTAGGAAGTACAAACGTCCGAAGATCTAAGCAGGCTCGGGGTCTTGCAATAGATGGTGCGCGATACTTATGGTTTAGGGTTTAGGGTTTGGGGGTTTAGGGTTTAGGGCTTAGAGCTTAGGGCCTCAAGTCGTATGAGCTTCACGATTGAAACTCGAGGTTTTCCGACAGTGTCTCGAGAAACTCCTGCCGGGAGCCCGCTACAACCCTTCAGTCAGACCCTAAACCCTAAACCCGATGCGCTACCGTTAAGCGTGCCTTTTCACAAACGCAGGCCCCACGGCAGCCCTTTCTGAAACTCTAAACCCTGAACCCTAAGCCCCAAACCCAAGCCCAAACCCTAAACCCTGAACCCCTGAGACCCTGAACCCTCAAGCCTAAACCCTAAAGCCCAAACCCTAAACCCTAAAGCCCTGAGTCCAGGCAGCTCTTGACCATCGACAGGTGCAGTCAGCATTGCCTTTACCAGCTTCATCTACATGTCTTCAGTGGGTTTTAGGCTCAGGGTTCAAGATCTGCATATGTAGATTACTGTAGGCACTTAATCCAACAGCTGCAGGGCCTTCTCCTGCAGCAGCCGACTCGCACTGAAACCAAACAGAAGTCTGAGTCTAAACCTTTAAGCCTTGAGTCACACTTCTAAATACTTCTAAACCTTGAAGCCGTGGAGGCTGAGTCTAAACCTCCAAATCTTGATTTCCACAGCTCTGGGTGCCTAACCGTCCTACAATGATTCAGATCCTCATATTCGCGAACCTTCATCTTAGGGCCAAGGCCCCCAGATCCCAGCCCTAACCCCACAGTTCCATCAACCCAAATGCTATATACTTTGGCCTGAAAGCCAAAGTATTTTCTATTTGGGTACATGGACCCTGAGGGTAATATAAGGGCAAGAAATCAAACACCAGGCCCTGAAACCCGAGACTCTTGATTTTTGTTGAACCCTTACGCCTTTACTCCCTCAGACCCTGTAGCCTTCAACCCTAAACCAGAAGGCCCGAATCCCAAACCCCAAAAATCCAAACCCCAAACCGAGAAGCCCTCAGAACCCAAACCCTAAATGCTAAACGCTAAAAGTCTAAACCCCCTAAAGCCTAAACCCTAAACCCTAAACCCTAAACCCCCTAAACCCACTAAGCCCGAACAAAAACCTCGCATGCCCTCGCGCCTGCAGCTCCCAGGGATCCTTACCTTGCTCCGCTCTTTTTGGGTTTAGGGTTTGGGGTTTAGGGTTTGGGCTTTGGGGTTTGGGGTGTAGGGTTTAGGGTTTAGGGTAATGTTGGGGCTCTGGGATGTCTTGCGAGGTAATAAGTAAGACTTACCTCTGAGATCTCAACAAGCTGAATCCTTGGCTGTAGGAGCTTAAAGTAGAAGCCCAAAAGTTGGAAACCCAATAGCCTCAATCCTTAAAGGTCATGTATAGGGAATCGGCTTCCAACTTTTCGGGGTTTACTGTAAACTAGATCCTAAACCCCAACCCTGAGGGGCCAAGGGACCTCATAATCAGGAACTTGCGTTTAGGATAGTAGTCTTGTAGCTTAGTATTTCGGAGGGTATATGACTATCAGACACTTGGACCCATACCCTAACCTAAATCCTAAACCCTAAACCCCAATTCCTGAACCCTAAATCCCAGGCCCTAAGTCCTTAATCCTACACCTAGAATCCTAAATCGTCTATCCTAAACCCTAAACCCTAAACCCTAAACCCTAAACCCTAAACCCTAGACCCTAAACCCTAAACCCTAAAATAAACCCATCCGCGGCGCGCAGTCGCTCCGCAGCAGAGGGCCGGTTCACCACATAGGGCACCGGGAAAACTGCGAAGAAGATCGCTGCCTCCGAAATCGTCGGGTGTAGGGTTTAGGGTTTAGGGTTTAGGGTTTAGGGTTTTAGGGTTTAGGGTTTAAACTTCAGGGTTTAGGGTCTTAGGACTTATGGGTTTAAGGTTCAGGGTGGAAATCATAACATGGAGCTCTAAAATCGTCGCGTGTAGGCTCTACCCATAGGCCCCATAGTAGTTCCTTTTTGGGGTTTAGTGTTTAGGGTTTAGGGTTTACCCATAGGCCCCATAGTAGTTCCTTTTTGGGGTTACCTTATAAGATTCTATATATGAACCCAAAAAAGAACTACTTTAGGGCCTATGGGTAGGGCCTTTAAGGATTAGCGATTTATGGATTCGGGTTTAGGCTTTAGGGTTTAGGACTAGGATCTAGTGCTTCGGGTTCCTGGCCTTGGAGCTGGGACGTTTAGGGTTTAGGGCGTGGAGGACAAGAAGCCCCGTCGATCGATTAAGGGTAGCCTTTCCATGCTGAGTAGGCTGTGTACCCTCGACCTCCAATGAGTTGTCAAGAAGATCCTCAAGGTGCAGCATGGCCAAGAATCTATAATAATATATATATATGTATATATATATATGTATTTACACTCTAAACCCTAAACCCTAGTCTGTGATGCTGTGCGTGGCTCCTGAAGCCAGTATGTAGAAGGCCGTTGTCAGCACCCCCAATCCGAAACAAGGCTTAACCTGAGGCTGGGGTTTGGGGTTTAGGGTCTAGTGTTTAGGGTTTAGGGACCCCTGAGTCCTAAACCGTTTGCCTGGTGAGGCTGGGGGCCCTTAACATGCCCAAAGCCTCGGACGATGTCCACTGCAGGCGCGGAACTCCTCCTCACCGCGGATCTACTGTAAAAACCATCGCTCTGTGTAGGTGGACGAGTGGGTGAGGGTTCGGACTTTATGACTTCAAAACTCTCGACATCTCCCGACCTTGCTAAGTCTTTCTGGTTGGGGGGGTGGCTTCAGGGCCACACATCAGATCCCCCCAAGAGCCTACTGAAACCTCCTCTTCGCCTATCCGAATCTCCAACCGTATACCAGTACCACCATGTCCTTCCGAGGCCAAAGATCCACGCCACCGAATCCTGCCGCCAGCCAACGTGCACTCATCTCTTGGTCAATGACAAGAAGGGCACTTGGCTTTGTGGCTTTTCAATCTCGGCATTATCGCTTTACCCATAGGCCGCATAGTAGTTCCTTTTTGGGGTTCATATTGAGAGTCCTATAAGGTAATCCCAAAAAGGAACTACTTTATGGGGCCTATGGGTATGGCTTATGAAACCTGCCCTAAACCAAAATCTGCCCTTTAGGTCCCTCTGATCGGCACCGAAAGATGTGCAAAGTCACGCCTGGCTGTGAAGGCGCCGCCGAGCAGCAAGAAGTTGTCCTGGCTTGAACTGTGAAGCTAAGGTTGCGGCTTCAGGCTGCTTCAGGGGCTGAGGCTTGAAGTTTAGGGGTTTAGGATTCAAGTTTAGGGGTTTAGGGTTCGAGTTTAGTTGTTTGGGGCTTAGGCTAATAGGCATTTGCGCAGACTTGGAAGGTTTGTTGCCGTGGCACGAGGCGCAGTACAAGTTTCGGGACATGGGGAGGAAGGCGGCTTTGTGAACGGGCTTGCAGGTCAAGCATTCGGAGTTCTAGAAGCCTCGCTAAAAGACTCCTCCCGGCCTGAAAATTCAAGCATGAGGCGTGCAAGCGTGGAAAAAACCGGCAGAGAAGTCCAGATCTAGCAGAATCTAGCACTACTCGTTTGACGTGTCAAACCGTAAACCCTGAACCTCGTGGCCTAGGGGCCCACCCAGATCTCTTGGTGATTTCAGTTTTTTGCTTATCACCAGCAAAAACTTGAAGCAACTAGGTGCTGCAACGACACGGAAGAAACACCTGTCAAGATGTCAATAGCTTGTGTACGGTCGCTGGGTGGTAGAAGCGTGCACTCGGAACATGTGCAAGGGCGGGCTGAAAATGCATTCGCAGAAGCTACCTGACAGGACCTAACATAGAAGGCGTCTGCTTCTGGTGCAGAGACACCTCCAAGTACACAAGGATCAATAAACAAACGGCGAAAACCCCCCTAAAGTACACTTCCGGATAGATGCCAGAGCACGGTATTGAGCCATGTTCTACCGCCACCATGACAAGGCAATAACAGTGTACCCTAAACCCTACGCCCTAAACCCTAACAACAGTGCCAAAAGCTTTCGCTCCTGTGCTAGTGGGGTGTCTCGGGTTCGCAGCAACGGCTCCTCCAGAATCGCCGAGCCATCGTCAGACACCTCCCCGACAGGAGTTGAAGGTGTAGAGTTTAGGGTTAGGGCTTAGGGGACGTTTAGGGTTTAGGGACAAGCTGCTGGAAAAGTGAGGGGAATCTGGGCTGGCCTTCCGGTTTAGGTGTGATGCTCTGTGCCCTGTTTTGGGGTGCAAGGATGCAAGAATGCTGCAAGGAGGTTGAGATGTGACCTCAACAGGCGGACAACCTCAACCCTGAATCGGGAACGCATTTCCGTGACCGGGTTTTGGGCTCTTTGCCTCGGATGTAAACGACTAACCAGAGGTTTGCCGCTGAGAGCGGCAAACAAGTCAACTGCGTCGAAAGGTGGGGTTTAGGGTTTGGGGATTAGGGTTTAGGGTCCCTATCTAAACCCTCAAAACCCGAAACCCTCAAAACCCTAAACCCAAACCCCTAAACCCTAAACACTCAACCCGAAACCTCAAACCGTTCATATTGTGGCTTCGGGTTCAGGGTCTAAGGCAGAAGACCAAGTCCAGAGCCCAATGATTCGAGAGCCATGGGTTTAGGGAATAGGGTTTAGGGTTTAGGGTATAGGGGTTATGGTTCAGGGTTTGTCTCAAACTCACTATAAACCCTAAAGCCCCGAAGCCGGAAGGCACTGAGTCCGCCAAGAACCAACACACCAACTCCCTAAGCCCTCAACCCTCTTCTCAGGGTTTAGGGTTTAAGGTTTACCCTGCCAACACAACCTTAATTCGGCCCTTGAAGAGATGTTGAAAGGGCCCTCCAAAGGACGCTGAAAACCCTAAACCTCGGAATCCTCACACCCTACAAAAGGATACTGAGAACCCTAAACCCTAACCCCTAAACCCCAAAAGCCCAAAACCCTAAACCACCAAAACCCTAAACCCTAAACCCTCAAAACCCTAAAGTCAAAACCCAAAACCCCGCAAACTCCCTAAACCCTACACCCTAAACCCTAAACCCCCAAAACCCTAAACCCTTAACCCCCAAAACCCTAAACCCAGAACCCCCAAAACCCTAAACCCTAAACCCGAAACTTCCAAAACCCCCCCTAAACCCTAAACCCTAAACCCCCGCGGGTACCTCAAGGGTAGTGCGGTCCCTGGCACGGAACAGCAGGCCTTGAAGTCCTGCTAACTGAATTATGAGAACCCCAAAAAGCACATAGGCATAAGCACTTTATGGGGATAGCCCTACCTTATTGGGCTTCATTATAAGGGGGTTTATATGGGATATCCCTATCCTAGCTTTTGCTTATGTGCTTTTTTGGGGGCCCTAAGTTATAGTAGAAGCCAGAAAGTTGGAACATGATTATCCTCATGCCCTTCAGGTAACGCAAAAGGGATCCAGGCACTAATCCTCCTAAACCCATGTTTCAACTTTCTGGCTTCTACTATAGTTTAGGGTTTACAGGGTCCTAGGATTTCAGGGTTAGGGGCTTAGGGTTTAGGGTGGTAGGGTTTCGGGATTACGGGTTTTGGGGAGCTTAGGGGTTTAGGGGTTGTAGGGTTTTACGTTTTTACGGTTTCGGGGTTATGGGCTTAGCGTTTAGGGAAGTTTCGGGTTTAGGGTTAGGGTTTTACAGTTTCGGGGTCAGGGGTTTAGGGCTCAGGGGTTGGGGGTTCCTGGGTTTATACAGGTTCAGGTTTACCCATGGTGCCAGGAACAACGACTATTAAGGTTTAGGGTTTAGGGTTTAAGGATTGTACCGAAAGCTCCAGTCAAACTTTGCATGATTATACCTTCTAGTATACTAGATCATGTGATTTCACCTTATACTTCAGCGTTTCGTGCTTGTGGTTTCGGTGATTCGGGCTTAAAATAGAGGCCTTAGTAATTGGAATAGGATTTAGGGTTTACTATACTGAAATTATAGTAAGGAACCCCCAAAACCCAATTCTACTTATTCTTAGGTAAGCACCCAATATTACGTGAAGAGCAGCCCTCACAACTCAATCACAACTCTTCTGCAAAAGTTTCGTGGAACTAGCAGCTGTTACCCCAAGGGTCAAGGACCTCATGATCATGTACTTGGGTTACGGATAGTGATTTTGTAGGTTAGTATTCAGAAAAGAATATGATTATTCGATACTTGGACGCTTAGGGTTATTTCCAAAATGTAGGTGCTCTGCAGCAGGTATCGTTAGTCCTTGCCCTTCCAAGTCATGTTGCTTAGCGTTTAGCTGCCTAACCATCTCGCTCAACTCGAAACTGCGAACGCTCCAAGCTGTCGAGCACATAAACAGACCCTAAGGGTCCAAAGGACCTAAGAATTCGATACTTCGTTTACGGATAGTGGTTTTGTAGGTTAATATCTTGGGAGAGTATATGATTATTAGGTACTTGGACCCTTAGGGATATTTTTCAACGCAATGTTTAAGTGCTCTGTCGGCTACGGGTTTGGTAAACCTTTTCAAGGTCCTCCACGTGCTGCGAGCATGGCCCCAAGCTCCTCGTAGGGATCTTCTCTGTCTCTGGTGGAGGGGTCATGACCTTGAACCCTAATGACCATGCTTTCTGGAGTTGCCATCGTGGCTTTCCGACAAGGCTCTTCAGGGCTATTCTATTTTGGGGTCTCGGGGGCCGTAATGATTAGAGTAGGTTCTTAATTGGGGTTTAATGATCATAACGGGGCGCCCTACGGAACCAGGAACAGTATGGCCAAGCTACTAAGTGTTCCGACCCCTATGCCAGTCTAGGGGGTTATAGTACTGTCTGACCATCGTAACTTGCACGCTCACAGAACCCAAACACAGATACCGTTTGTTCATGACCCCTTGGAGTTTGTATATATGTATATATATATATAGATAGATGAAAACGACAAGGTTACCTAATAACACCAAAGAATATGGCCCGGATTGGCGACTTTTGGATGCCTTCTTATAGTCAGGATGTTCAAGCGCTGTCTGATTGATTCAGATTAACATGAAGTAGGATCTCTACTAGTATCCCCATATTAGGAAAACTCTACTTCATATGGGTCGGGCGGAGAAGTTCGATAGGTGACCCAAAGCCCGAAAGCTCTGCAACCCAGAAGAGAGAAGCGACACCATCAATGGGATTACGAGCTAGATTTAAGCCTGATACACCTGTGCTGCAAGCTTCGGGTATCATATTGATGCACTGTCATCAACATAAAACCCTAAACCCTAAACCCTAACCCAAAGAGAACCCAAAACCCAAGGAGCCCAGTACTAGCAAAAGGTACTGTTCTGCAAACCTTATATAAGGCTGCTAGCGCCCATAATGTAGGGGGCTTGAGAATTAGAATAGGGTTTTGGGGCCCACTCTACTATAGCTCTAATAAGGAACCACCAACATTTAAAATGGTATTGGTAATGATGTAGACCCCTATATTAGTCGGGTAACCCCAAGATACAGTGGGCTCTTTTCGCCCTCCTGGCCCCGATTTCCTAAACCATAAACGGCTTGTGCCCCAAACCGTAAACCCTAGCATTTCCGTCTAAACCGAACCGTCAACCCTTAACCCTTAACCTAAAACCCTCAAGCATTTGCAAACCTGAAACCCTAACCTTCAACCCTTGAGCCCCTCCTCTTCGTTCGTGTAGGATCGAAATTCGAAGGTCCAGGAGGAGCCACGGATCGTCTCTGGATTGACGGGTGAAGAGGCCTCTAGGGTTTAGGGTTAAGGGTCCTAACTATAGAGTCGTTTAAAATGCAAAACAGCTACAATAGAGACCACGGGTAGTGGCTTAGCGGAAGATGGGACTGCCAGAGGCTTGGAGAACGGTACTAGGGTAATCTTATGTAGTATTCTCAGAATTTTTGAATGGCTTAGTTTCGAGGCCTGAAAAAACCGAGGGTTTCGCTGGTTACAATATTGAGTCAATCACACAGGGGTTAAGCGGTGGTATTACAAAAATATGCAGACCCCTGGTACAAGCGAACCAAACGCAACATCAACAGCAGAGGGTAAAAGCAGATTGCCATTGCGCAAGAAACACCATGCAGTCCCTCTTTGGCTTGCGGGGGACTGATCACCCAAATGGAAGTACCCTGACCCTCCCGGACCCTCCTGGACCTAAACCCTCAACCCACAAAACCCTAAACCCTAAACCCGTGAAAAAGAGGAGTCCCAATTCACGCAAAGTTAAGGCCTGGCAGGTGGAGCAGATAAAGTCTTAACTAGGCCGAAACCATGGCCTCACAGACAAAAGGTTTAGGGTTTAGCGTTTGAACCCGACCTGCCTCGCGAATCACCCGCTCCCAGTCCAGCCGCGAAGCAGTGTCACTGACCACTCCTGTCAAAGCATACTTTGGCCTTGATGAGCTATACAGAGGTGCGTTTCGCTTTCCTCACAGGATTTTGCATTCTGTAGACCTTAAGGGTCCAAAGGACCCAATAATCAGGTACTTTGGTTGCGGATAGTAGTTATCTAGGTTGATATTTGGGAGAGTGTATGATTATTAGGTACTCAGACCCTTACGGAGAGGTTTGCATTTGGTCGGGTTCTTCTTGGAGGACCGCGGGACTTAGTCCGTAGGGTTGCAAGTAAGCTTGAGGTCGAACGGCTAAGGAGCCAGACTGCCCCTAGACTTCCAGTTAGGGTTTAGGGTTTAGAGTTTAGGGTTTAGGGTTGTTACCTATATAGTAGGTGACCAGCCATATAATATGAAGCCCATCAACCCATTATTTAGGTACCCCCTAAACCCTAAACCCATTATTTAGGTAACTGGAGCCCTAGGCTCTTGAACCCCCGAGCCTACTCTGACTCTCCGCAAGAGAATACTCCACAAGCTCCAATCCCTAAATGCTCAAATGCTGCCTAGCGCAGCCTGCAAGTTTGAATCCAACGCCTATATGCTGTATCCAAAGGTCTAAAGACCCTACACGCCCCAAACTTTGAAGCCAGAAAATCGATGCTCCTCAGTGTCCCCTTAGGAATAAGGCTACCCGCCTTCCTTGTGATTCAAACGGTTTTTTCCAGGGGAGCCCAAAAATAAAAAGTAACCCTATACCCTCAACATGCCCAGACCCTAAACCTTAAACCCGAAACCCTAGATCCTCAACATGCCCAAACCCTAAACCTAAACCCGAAACCCTAAACCTAAAAGCTAAAAGGTACTGCTGGGAAATTCAGAATTTTTCAGAACCTGGAACGACACTTCCTCGAGAGGCCTCCGCTTTCTGGCCAGCGCCTGTGGTACCATTGTCATTTCCAAATTTATAATTCTTCGTAATGCATATATATATATATATATAAACAAATAAATATATATATATATATGCACATATTCTATATATATATATATATGTAGAGAGAGAGAAAGAGAGAGCTAAGGTTTAGGACAGTGAAGTTTAAAGCATCAAGTCTTGGAACTGTGCTGCAGGGCTTTGGAGATTCAGAGTGAAAGTAAGGTCGTAGGGAGTACAGGATTTTAGGGTTTAGGGATTAGGGTTCAGGGTTTAGGGGAAGCCGCGCTCCAAGTGGATAGTTCTCTCAAGTTGGGTCCCTTTGGGGGGTCCGTTTTGTTAAGGGTGCGGTACTCTTGTGGGGACCTAAAAAAGGGACCCCCAATATGGAGAATTGCCCAACAAATTGAGGGAGTCTATCTGTCATGGCATGGTCTGGCTTCCTAGCTTCCGTCTCATCAGCAGGAGTGTAGTCCTTCGGGATTTAGGGTGTAGGCGTTTTAAGGGTTTTAGGGTTTTGGGG